CAGTTAACACACTGAGGCTGCAGTCAGTTAACACACTGAGGCTGCAGTCAGTTAACACACTGAGGCTGCAGTTAACACACTGAGGCTGCAGTTAACACACTGAGACTGAAGCTAACACACTGAGACTGAAGCTAACACACTGAGACTGAAGTTAACACAACCTTAGTATGTTAGTGTTACAGTAGACGTAGATTGGTAGATGTATAACTGTAGATGTGTACCTGCCGTCCCCTCCAGGAGCTGGTGACGGAGCTCCACATGCAGTCCATCTTCACAGATGTGGGGAAGCTGAGTCTGCAGGACCCCTCTCACAGTGCCATCATCCCCAGCTCAGTGGGACAGACAGGGAGTCCCAGCACCTCCACTGCCTGGCTCAGTCAGTCTGGAGAGGCTCACTATGCTCTGGCTTCACCTGCTGGAGGCATCATGGTGGTCACTCTGGCCCCCCATGACACTCAGGGTAAAGACAGCCTAACTGGCTTCACTGGTTTCCACACACGTTCTCCAGTCGGTCCTATAACTGCGTGTGTTGCAGGTGGTGTGTCGGTGCTGGAGCTGAAGAGGAGCTCCATGATGCAGAGGCTGTCTGGCTGGATGCCCACAGCCATCCGTGGGGAGCAGAGTCCCGCAGATCTGGTCCTCAGTCTAGCTGTCAGAGAGCTAGAGGAAGACTCCTTCATCTTTGCCCTCTGTCAGGATTACAAACTGCGCATGTGGTCCTTCAGGGTGAGACCCTCACCCACCCATTCAACATCAGACATACTGCACACACACTGAGGCTAAAGCTAACAGTCCACAGGTAGCATTCAGTAACACAGAATAATAATTTTATTAATGTCAGTACTAACTAGTACTGCATTAAACAGAGGACTGCATTAAACCTGTTGTGTTTCCTCTACAGGAGCAGGCGTGTCTGCTGGAGGCGGACATGTTGGACTACATGCCGGCCTGTAAAGGAGTGAAGCGTCTGGCCGGTCAGGGTCATCGGCTGAGGCTGGCGTTCTCCTCCACCACAGGCCTCTGCCTGTCCGTCTACCTGGCCGTACCTCAGAGAGGACAGTTCACCGTCCTGCAGCTCGTCGCCACTGACAACAACCGCTACAGCCTCGACCACATCTCTTCTCTCTTCACCACACAGGTAAACTGCAGCTGGTGTCATTTCTTTTATCTTCTAACATGTTTGTTTGATTAATAAATGAGCTAAATACTGTCTGTCAACAGGAGACTCTGGTGGATTTCACTCTAACCTCAACAGACATCTGGGGTGTCTGGGTGGACGATTCTAACACCACTGTGGTCAAATACATCAACTTTGAACAGTGAGTAATGTCAGGAATGATCCTCTCTCTTGTCATGAATCTGTCTTTATTATGACACTGTGTGTGTTTTCCAGTAACACAGCCGGTCAGTGGAACCAGGTGTTTGTTCAGCCTCCACCTGAGGAAGAAGTCCATATCGGAGTGGACCAGGACCCCAGAGTAAGACCAGTCCCACACCAACAGCCACTGATAAAACTGTGACCTCTGACCTCTGCATGGGGAACAAATAGTGATCATTAAAATATGAAATTAGACTTTATGGTATCCAAGTGATCAGGTGTGTCTCCATGGTAACTAATGTTGACTGTGTGATGAAATACTGTGTGTTGTATGTTAACAGGAGACATACCTGGATGTACTCTTCTCTCCGCTACGCTTCACAGCTTCAGCCATCGTTAAAGCTCTACAGGTGAGAAACTAGCTGCTGTAGTTTAAACTCTACAGGGGAAACAAGCCGCTGTAGTTAAAGCTCTACAGGTGAAACTAGCCGCTGTAGGCGTCCGGTAGAGAGGCGAGCAAGGCCCTGAAATCCCTCACCGCCTGGTTCACGGTTGAAGCTCTCAACCAGTTGAAACCTACTGCGGCCGGCTACACTAGTCGCCACAGGACAAGGTGAAACTAGCCGCTGAAACGTTGAAGCTCTATCAAGTGAAGACTCACGTGCTTGTAGTACCTGAAGCCTCTACAGGCCGCTGAAGAGAGCGCTGCCCTACGTGTGGTACGTGCACGAACTGTCTTCGTTTGTTTTCCAGATCTACCGCAGAGGCTCAGAGAGGATCTCTGATCTGTCCTGGGAGAGTCTGAAGAAGGAGGTGACAGTAGCGGTGGAGAGTGAGGTAAACAGAATTGGACTTTACTACAGAGAGCTGAAAGATTTGAATATCTCATACTTAAACAGTGTCTGGTGCTGGCAGTAATCTCTCATTTCTTTCTGTCTGTCTGTCCTCCTGTCTGTGGTCGTGCAGCTGCAGAGCAGTGTGACAGAGTTTGAGTTTTCTCAGGAGGAGTATCGTCAGCTGCAGGTGGAGTTCTGGTCCAAGTTCTACGCCTGTTGTCTGCAGTACCAGGAGGCTCTGTCCATGCCTCTGGGTCTGACTGTGAGCCAGCACACCAACATGGTCTGTCTGCTCAAGAAGGTAAAGACACTGCTCACCTGACCAAGTAGATCTGTTACACACTGACCAAGTAGATCTGTTACACACTGACCAGGTAGATCTGTTACACACTGTGTGATGTATTTATATTCTGTATTCTGTGTTTCAGGGCTTTGTGTCCTTCCTGCTGCCGTGTTTCGCTGTGGATCATTTGTACCTGTCTTATGATGAGTACCTGTTCTCAGAGGAGGAGACGCCCATCACTGAAGGTAACCACACCTTTACTCTGCTGACGGAGCTTGGAGTGTTGAACTAGTGCTGTGCTGTAGTATATGTTATAATTATGTAATAATGTTACAATAATGTTATAATGTCATAATAATGTTACAATAATGTTATAGTTAATATAATATTGTGATGATAATGTAATAATAATGTTATAATATTGCGACAATGTTATAATGTGACAATGTTACAATAATGTTATAACTGTGTTATAATAATGTTACAGACCCTGAGGTGGGCCGTGACGTGCTGCAGCTGGTCCAGTGTCTGAGGCTGGTCAGTGATGCTGTTTCTGGAGAGATGGCATATGAGATGGAGAAAGCTCTGGAACACCTTCAGTCCCCTGAGAGAGCAGCTGAACTTGTGCTGGAGAACATGCTGTCCAATGACAGGTCAGGGTTCTGATGTATTGATTACACTGAGTTTATTGTAACTGAACAGAGGTCAGTGTCACTGGAGGAGATGGATCAGTCCATACGTGTAATGAATCAGATTGAGCTGCAGTCAAGTGTGAGCCTATTGTGACGTCACCCATTGGTAAAACAGAACGAGCCGACTTGACGTACTGCGAGTTGAGCTGCTCTCATTGGCTGCTCTTGGTTTGGAAACAATGGCGTCTCTCCTGCTCACACAGGATCTGGTATTCCAGATAAACAGGTAAACATGGTGTTTTGTGGAACAGATTCCCTGAGTTTGACAGTTTGATCTCAATTTCTCTGCGTTGAGTTGGGCGGACTCACTGAGAATGAGCTTGTCAATTACAAGGTAGGCCCGAGCCCTACACCCTGCTTTATGGTCTGTTTTGACTCTAAATGGACCAAACCATACTAAAATGAAAACCATCACTCAGCCCAGAAGCTAAGTGTGCCATGTCTAACAACAAGACCACGAGCTATCAGCCCTGTGATGGAGCAGATCTTCTGGACCAACGATACAACGTCTACTACGGCGGTGCAGCTGACACAAGAACAGCCAATGGATGTCAGTGGAGTAGAGCAAGTGATGTGAGTTATTAGGTGCTGTCGCCTGCTGTCAGATACCTTTTGATACATGACTTCAGTTTATTTTATTTCACAGACAGTTTTCACTGGAATCCTCAGTAGTTCGGCAAGTAATGGATACCCAGCAGCCAATCAGACATCCAGTCATCAACACAGACCCACTAATATAAATGTATCAGTTCTTAGGATGAGTGTGGTGCGAATGAATATTGATGAAAGGCTGTAACAAAACTTGATCCTCGCATGATAACCGAACCGACCGACATCAGAACCACAACTGCAGGACGTGCGGAACCCTATGCGGCATCGATGGTCCTGCTGCGGACGAGATGGACCACTGCGAGACGGATCAGACGTGGCAGGGAAGGGAACCGTTGAGGCCTGCGTAAGGATCATTAAACTTAACTTCATCATAGGTATAAGAATAGTTAATGTCACCATACGCTGGACTCAGTGGTTTCGTTTCTGCATCTGTTCTGCAGGCAGCGACTCTGAACGTGAAGGATCAGCCTGTCCTCAGCTTGTACGGCAGCACTCATGCACGTGTCCTGTGGCTGTCAGGCGTCCTGTAACCTCGCCAGGACCCGGGCCCTGTTCTGGAGAGACCTGCTGATTCTTCTCAGAAACTTCTACCGCGCCTCGGAGTCAAGTGTGTGCTACGTACAGTACGCACACACACACAACACACCACCCAACGACACACACACAACACACAACCACACACACACGACCTGACCATTAGTCCTTTAGTCTATCTGCAGTAGCCAGCTACTAAATGAGCAATAAAATGTTCAGACAACAGAGATCTGCTTCAGAATATGTTGATCACTTTTCTCCAGGTGTCCCACCGACGTGTCAAACACTCTGAGCCTAGTACACTAATACAGACACAGTGACACCCAGTGGGTCCAGAAAAGACCTGCACCAGACTTACATACTGACTACACACGATCCATACTCTGTGTGTGTGTCGTGTTGTGTTCGGGGTGTGTGGTGTGTTGGTGTTGTTGTGTGTGTGTGTGGTTGTCCTCAGGTGTTTCTGGGTGGGGGGGCTCAGCTGCTGCAGCTCCAGCAGGATCTGATCCCTCGGAGCTCCCACCTCCTCTCCTCCTATCACCTCCTCAAACACATCAGTCAGAGCCTGGCCTCCTCCGTCCCCGTCGACATCCTGTGAGTACTGATACTGCACTGCCTGTGTAGTAGTACTCACTGATACTGCAGTATGAGTACTAGTACTCACTTATACTGCAGTATGTGTACTAGTACTCACTGATACTGCACTTCCCACTGCTGTACCATCACTCCATCTGTACTGATGTGAGAAATATGATAGTACTGGCTGTGTGCTGGTTGTGCTGGTGTGTCGTGTGACTATATACCGGGCGCTGTGTAATATTGTACCTAGCGTACCATGCGCCGCCACCCTTAATCCATGCCTATGCTCATGCTGCCATTGCAACCACGAAATTCTCGCATTTTGCAGTGCAAATCCAACATGACAGAAGTCTGCCCTCATAGTATGACTAAGTCTAATGGTTGTAAGTCCGATTCGGTGCGGTGGTCAATCTCGATGTCAGTAAACTCGGTAGCTGTCCGGGTTGGTATTGATTAGTGATTGGTACTGGTTGGTATTGCGTTTGGATTGAAGGTGTATTTCTATAAAGAATATGACATATTTGGTCCTGGTTGTATTTAAAGTTGATCAGACTCATTGACCCCTGACCTTTGACCCCTGCAGAGATGCCAACCTGCAGCACCTCACAGTGCTGGAGCTGTCTGACACCCCGACTCTGTCCTCCTGTAGATCAGGTCAGTGACTGATCTCAGATTCAGCTGAATATATCAGACCAGACATACAAAGACAATTTAAATAAACGGCTAAACAATGTGTATCTGATTATTGATTATTGGTTATTATTGTTCCTGTCAGCAGTGTTGAGTCCTCAGACGGTGGTGGAGCTCTTCTATCAGACTGCAGCCAGGAAGATAATCATCTCTCAGCTCTTCTGTCAGCAGCAGACCAACTCCTTGCTGCTCTGGACCCACATGGTCTCCAACGTGGTCCACTTGCTGGCTCAGCTGCTGTATCCTTCATACAACGTGATCAATACCTCACTGGAAACTAGTTATAAAAGTAAACCTAGGGTTCCCATGCCTCCTGGAAATTTAGAGACTAGTTTTTCAGTCCTGGAAACACCTGGAAATTGATTAAAATTATTATCAAATAGCCTGAATGTGTTGAACCTTTAACTGTATGGTCTTTAGTTTGACAGTCGACTGTTGGTGGAGAACCGGCAGTACGACACGGAGCACGTTTACCGGCCAGCGAACGAACTTGCAACGATCTTTCCGGTGTCCTTTTTTAAAATTCTCATAAAAGTGAAAGTGGAAACTTGTTGTTGTTGTGGTTAATACATTCACACACAGCAATGTTCATTGTACATACAAACACTTTTTAGCTAGTAATGTATGTAATGAATGAGACTGGGGTTCAGCTACCACTGAATGATATGACTGTCCTGTACTGTCGATAAAAACCCATGAAAATGATTCTTAAGAAGAATGGGAGAGAAAGGGAAAACAGTTGTGATATTTCTTTCATAAGTCATTAAACATCAAAGGCAACTTGTTCCAGTGAGAAGGAAGGAAGTGAGTTTAGTGACGTATGGATCAATGTTTTTGTGCAGGAAACTACAATGATTTATCAAATGAAAAGCGAACTCAGCGATTGGTTGATGTTAATCATATGTGGAACGAACACATTCACTTTATACTTCTTTAATCAGTGAACAAGTGGAAGATACACAAGTTTAAAATAGAAGAAAAAGATAAAACTGAAGTTTTTGATAAAATAATTAAATTGAATCAATATGGGGAAATATTCAGCGTGATGAAGAGGAGTTCTTACAGCTGCAAGTGAAGATCAGATGCATTATATTTTCTTTATTGTAGTGACTTGTTGAATCTTAACTGATGTGCCCCAGTTGGCCCAGTAACCCTGGTTTCCAGTTCCCAGAGTGTCTGATGGCCAACTGTCAGTACACACAGCTGCAGGTGAGTTCAACTCATCTGATCCTTCGTCTCACGTTATCATTTAATCTCTTTCATATCAGTGTTCACATGTTTAACTCCACATTGTCTGTCAGACATTACAGGAACAGCTCCACTGTTGGTACTTATTGTGCTCCAGATATTGACATCATTGTTAAATCTATATAATCTATATACACTGTGTAATCTGTATAATCTAAATACAGTGTTCAATCTATATACAGTGTTTAATCTATTTAATATATATACAGTGTTTAATCTATATAGTGTTTAATCTGTATAATCTATATAGTGTTTAATCTGTATAATCTATATACAGTGTTTAATCTATATAGTGTTTAATCTGTATAATCTATATACAGTGTTTAATCTTTATAATTTATATAGTCATATATCACATTGTGTATCTCACCTGTGTTGTCTGTGTGCAGGAGTATGTGAGGCTCATTGGACCCTGGTGTCAGGTGAACATCGGCTCGTGTCGCTTTATGCTGGGTCAGTGTTACCTGGCCAACGGGGAAGGTCAGAAGGTGAGTGACCACCAGACCTTCTGTACACCTGGAGGCATTTTACCTGTTGACTCATTGTACTTTTTGTCCATTGTGTGTTCAGGCTCTGCAGTGCTTCCAGGAGGCAGCGACGGAGGTGGAAAAAGAGGAGTTCCTGATGAGACTGACGGGCAGCGAGGAGGAGGAGGCTGCATCCACCCCCAGACTACAGTACTACAACAAGGTACACCTGGATGAGCTCCACCAGACAGAAATTAAACACTAATCAACTGATCAATAATGAAAATAATCAGTTTAAAGGATATCACACAGTGATTGAACCATGTTAGTGTCGAGTTCAGTGTGACAGCAGACAGGTGAGATTCAGGTAGAGCTACCATTCACGTACTTCCTGTTTCCTTCTGTTGGTTCAGGTGCTGCGTTTGTTGGAGGACGTTGGTCTACCTGAGCTCGTCATCCAGTTGGCCTCTCTGGCCATAACAGAGGCAGTGAGCGACACCAACAGCCAGGTAATGTTGATATGTCGATCAATCATATAATATAATCAATACGTTTATAGATATTGATCTATGGAGCCATTATTGTAGCANNGGAGAGTTGTGTAACTGTATCTCAGTCTGCGTGTACATAATCAGATTTATAATCTGTACAAAAATCTGCAAATACATTTACAGATGTTTAACACACATTTGCACATCTGGATACGATTTGTAGATTATTTTACACATTAGTCTGATTATCTACACACAGATTGAGATAGTTACACAACTGTCTGCTCATGTTTGTAAATTGTTTTGCTCCATATTGATCTATAATCAATAATGTGTTTGTGTTCAGGTGTTTTTACCTGTAGTTTATAGATCTTGATCTATAATCAATAATGTGTTCAGGCCGCTCTGTGGACTAGAATATTCAAACATCACCTGGACCTCGGACACAACAGTGAAGCGTATGAAGCACTCACACAGAACCCAGACAGCAGCATGTACGTATTGTTATTATTAACGGTTGATACTGTGATCAGTATAAAATCAATCAATCTGATAATCAACTTTTATTACTGTAAAACTGACCTCTAATAGAGACAGCAGGCCAGTAAAGGAGACCGGTGTCTTACTGCTGTTTTCTGTTTTTTAACGTTGTGTTTTCAGGCAGCTGGATTGTCTCCGTCAGCTGGTGGTGGTTCTCTGTGAACGCTCTCAACTCCAGGATCTGGTCCAATTCTCCTACGTCAACCTGCACGACGAGGTAACACCTTCATCTGACCTCTGACCTTTGACCTCTGAACTGCCTCAGTAACTGCTGCAAACTTGTACTTTGATGAGATGAGATTATTAACATGTCTCCAAAAAATCTTGTTAAATGTCAGCCTTGTTGTTACGTACAGGAAGTAGCGATTTATTAATTATGAAATTAAGAGAATATCTGTGTTCAGGTGGTGATTTATTGATTATGAATGAGGGAATATCTGTGTTCAGGTGGTGATTTATTGATTATGAATGAGGGAATATCTGTCTTCAGGTGGTCAGTATCATTGAGTCTCGAGCTCGAGGGTTGGACCTGCTGGCTCACAATTATTACGAGCTGCTGTACGCCTTCCACATCAACAGACACAACTACAGGAAAGGTAACATCTGTAACACCGTCTGTAACATCTGTAACACAGGGCTGCAAAATTCATTGAACATTAATTGTGTGTGTGTGTGTG